AGCTATAAGATAATCAATACCAACGTCCTCACTAATCCCCATGGAATAGAGGTTAGAAGCTCTGGCCATAACCATGATCGCAAATACCTGATCATAGCTCTGTATTGGCCGGAAAATCACGTCTTGAATAAGTTAGCAATGTTTCCGGAGCTCCCGAGCCGCATCCTCCTGGAGCGCAGTATCGTCTCCATTTCGTTGTCTTCTTTTTACTGAGTTCATACCATTGGCTGTGGACTGGCGTCACTCATCAATACGATTACTTCCCTTACCCTTATTTTGTTGAGTTCCCCTAGTGCGCACACTAGGAGGAGCCGACAATACCAACGGCAATTGAGTCCAGCAGAATATACAATGTGGCGTTGCTGGCAACTACATATTTTGGTGACAATATGAAAATTCTGAGGAAATTCGGGTGAAATTCTTGTTGGTTTCTCTACGCTAGTTTCCGAGTTCACATGTAATTTCCTATAATTAGTGAGGAAACTCTCGAGCTCAGCTGAGGAAGGCAGACATATATTCCTCCAACACTGAGAAATTACAGTGCGTGCCAATTTGGTATGCAAATGTGTGTTATTTTTCGAGGTTGATGAAAATCAATGTGAAACATATATAGTGTAACAATGGCTATGAACATGTGTTGTGATGAAAGTACCTGTTTAGAACTGTGATAGCAACAACTTGTTCACTATAATTTTTCTTTCAAAGTAACACGCATTTGCATATCAAATTGACACGTACTGTATACCCACCTTTGGGCAATTCTTTTGCGACTCGATATCAGAGCGCCATTTTCACTGAACTGGGTATGGAATTGGAGTAGAACATCAACAAGGAGGATCCTGTCGGGCATACAGAACTCAGGTGAGCACACCAGAGTGCTTTCTTACGCATCTATGATGAGGTGCGACAAGGGGTAGCCTTCCTGCGCCTATAAGATGTTTATTATTTCAAGTGGGAGAAGCTCGACTTACAACAAATGCGGCTTGGAACGGTACGCCGATAATTACAAATACCAAGGCTGCTGCCAGGATCATATCCCACAGTATTCGACCACCTGATCGGATCGACGTTGATGTTGACGAAGTGCACCGTATAGTATAGTATAGTATAGGATGCGATATATGGTATATATAATATAGGATATGTGAATATACGACGTGTATTCAGTATTTATACGGCACTGCAGCATACCACACCATTTCACGACTAGCTTAGTGAGAGGCCAGACCAAATTTGTTGAGTATTACCGATTCAGTCTAAGCGTATTAAACTGGGTCTGGGATCTACAACATTGATCTTGCCATCAAGCTGGTCTCGGCCTTCACTAATTTGGTCTAGGCTTTTACTAATTTGGTCTACAGTTCTACTGATTTGGTCTAGGCTTTTACTAATTTGGTCTACAGTTCTACTGATTTGGTCTAGGCTTTTACTAATTTGGTCTAGGCTTTTACTAATTTGGTCTAGACTTTTACTAATTTGCTCTAGGCTTTCACTAATTTGCTCTAGGCTTTCACTAATTTGGTCTAGGCTTGCGTCAATTTGCTCTAGGCTTTCACTAATTTGCTCTAGGTTTTCACCAATTTGGTCTAAACTTTCACTAATTTGCTCTAGGCTTTTACTAAGTTGGTCTAGGCTTGCGTCAATTTGCTCTAGGCTGTTAAAAATTGCTCCGCACATCATTGAGTTGATCTAAGCTTCCAGTGTTTGATCTTGAAATGATGTATTGCTATGTGCTCAAATATCAACTGACAATATGCGGCACATCAATGCTTCCCACCAATGTGTCGTAAGTGCCTTTTCAGCTTTATCGACTCTACCATTAATTTTTATAAAAAAACGCATCAATTGAATAGGGAATAGCCCGGCTTGTGGACTGTGCAATGACAGGCCGCGCCTAAAACTTTCCTCAAGGATGTTGATACAGTGTGGAAAAAATACACACATGTTTTTGACAACAAGGAAATCTGTGGGGTGGTTTTTGGTATTTTCCTGATATTTAACAAAAAAAATACCTAATACCTCAATATTAATTAATAACTTAATAAACCTTATCTATAGGTACCTTAATATTTTCCTAACTACAATTAGTGAGGGAACTCCCCAGCTCAGATGAGGAAAGCGAACATATATTCCTCAACACTGTGCTAGTATGTGCGCGACCGACACGAAAATTCGTATGCAAGAAATCTTCTTCGTGGCAACCAACAAGAGGAGCTCCCAAGCTTACTAGACGACGGACTGACAGGTTCTGTAAAGAACTCTTTGACTGACTTCATAGTAGAAGTGCCAATCATGCTAAGCTGCTCTTTTACTGTCACTAAAACAAACAGAACTCATTCAGCGTTCCCCAGGGTTTGATAACAATGGGGAAAATGTTGCTAATGTGATGATGATGACATTTACATGGGAAACTGATTGAAGAATGTGTTCCTAGCCATCCGTGGAAAATTGAAAATGATTTCGCCTCCCGGGAACATTGTAGGTTCCTTGGTGCCAACCTACTGTTTTCACTCCCTTCCTCAACTATCAATCCTTGTAGTTTCAATCTGCTCGACAGTGCCAAAAGGTTCACCGCTGCTCGCCTTCCGACTCTCTTCGTGGTGCCTACTTCCCATGAGAATATGCTAGGACATCATCAACACTGTCTCAATCACTCGTAGCACACAATGTGTCTCCCTCAGCTGAGGTTATAATAAAAATAGTTTTCATCGATCAAGTGCGATCAGGCTTTAAGACATTCCTCTGCTATTATTGTCGCAATCACTCGTAACACTGTGTTACGAGTGATGCACAAAGTGATCAACGTGACAACCTCACAAAGTGAAACATACACTGTGCATAGTGAACATAATTGTGTGTTACTAACACACAATTTGTCTCTCTCGGGTGGAGGAATTACTCAGTTAAGCTTATAATAAAAATAGTCTACAACGATAAAGTACAATCAGGCTTTATAAAAATAGATCACATTATATATATTTTCAAAATAAGGTCATTCCAACAATTAATGAAATATTCATTAGTACACTGGAGTTTCACCCTAGTGATATGAAAAACACTAGTGAAAAACATATTTCACGACTACTGCATATCACCGCGAATATCGCGTTTTTCATCGAGTTTTACGCCACTTCACGTAAACCGAGTGAAACTCCATTATGTCCAGCGTAGTTTTGTTATCTCAATGAGGAAATCACTGACAAGATGCATGCAAAATCGATCAAGTGCAGTGTCGTAATATATATAATCGCTTTCTTCAGCTGAGCCTAAAGGAGTTTCCTCACTAACTATAGGAGTTCATATACAAACAAGGGTAGAAATATACAGAAATCACCAAGAATTTCCCAAAATTCCCTCAATTTCCATATTGTCACCAACATATGTGGGCGACCATGCGCATATTTTCCCCCCACACTTTGGTTGACCTACTGTGTCTCTCCGAGGTCCTTCCTGATGCAATGGTTACCGCCTTAGTCCTGCCTCCCGCTGTTCTCTCCTTATCAGCATCGTTGTATCTCGAAAGATTATGCTGGTGTCGGAGAAATATATGCTGAGCTTAGGAGTTTCCTCAATAATAGTTATACGAATGAGGGTAGAAGTGTACAGAAACCAATGAGAATTCCCCAAAATTCCTTCACAATTTCCATATTGTCACCAAAACATGTACAGTGTGAACCATGTTAGCAAAGTATTTTTCTCGTAAGGAGAGCCCCTAAGGATGATGATACCTGTCCAAGAGCTCCTTCAAATGGCCTGGTGGTAGCTCCGTTGCTAGAGGTACAGCCGCATCGTTATCAGCGCCCTCAGGCTCTCCAGTGGGTGGTGCCTGGTGAAACCAGGGTGGGAAAATATGCACATGGTCAACAATGTGACAATGGGGAAATTCTTGCGGGGTTTTTTATATTTTTACCTGCAAGTGGTGTGTGAATTTTCATCGTGTAACTCAGGAAATTCCTGAGCTCAGTTGAGGAGAAAACAGCAAATTTGCCGATTCTTAATATTGTTTTCAACTTCGAAACCACACCAAGATCAATTCATCATAGTACGAGCCAAGTTGCTTCCCTCGAGCCCACGATAGCAAAGACCCTCCTCGCTTACTGATCGGTCTCTATGTGACGGTGATTCTCCTCCGCTCTGTCGTGTGGCATCTAGAGGGCCGAGACGGCTCCTACTGCCACCCGACTGAGTTCTATCTAAACTGTTTCTCCGTTTTGGGTCCTCAGCATTGAAGTTAGTCAGTGAGCCTCTATTGCGTTTAACATCAACTCGATGAACTCTGTCGGAGTGCGACGATGGTGACGAGGACTCAGGTGAACGCTCCTTCGTCGTTCGTCTTCGAGGAGAAAGAGACATCTGTCTTGGCTCTGTTGGTAACGCCCCTGGGAGATCGGGTACCCTATGGGCTCGTTTTTCTGCACTCCTGAGAGCGGTGATTGGTGACACGCTGTGTTTCTATGCATACCCTTATACAGTAGAGGGTTGAGACGTGTGTGGGAAAATATGAAAATTGTGAGGAAAATTCGGCAAATTCTTGTTGGTCTCTGAAAACTTCTATAATTAGCGAACTAGCTCCTGAGCTCAGCTGAGAAAAAAAAACGAACATAAATTCCTCCAACACTACAAAGGCAGAATTTCCGTGTGCGCTACAGTAGAATGATTGCTAGGCTCAGATTGCCGTATATAGAAAGAAAACACCCAAGGCTTACGCGATTTCCGATTTTCTCTTTCCAAAGACTATCCCTCCTTGCTGTTTAGCAGTAGTAGGGCTTGGCTCAACACCATCACTCGACGATGGTGACTCGGGAGCTTCTGAATCACCATCGTTGTTGAGCATGCGTACGGAGTGATGTCTATCTCACCCGAGCGGGGGAAAAAGACTCTACCATATTTCTTCCTCTCCCCAGGGGAAGAGCGCCCGTCGTAGCTGCTGCCAGGGCTACCTGTCGTAGCTTTCTCTGACCATAGCTCGGCTGCTATGGTGTCGATCTTGCTATTGAGAGATTGGGAAAGTTCATCTGCAATCAAGTCTCAGGCCTGGTTGGCTGTACAGTGCGAAGCAAACAGTTATGCATATGTAGATTTTCGAGATGGCTTTCTCTTCAATTCGAGAGTAATACGAATATAGACTACGGAACGCTTCTAAAACGTTGGTGTCAATCGATTCACATTGTTATCATGTTGATATTACTCAAAGTTCACTTTCGAACTTTTAAAAATTGAAAATATTACTTTGCATAATAACGGTTTGGTTGTTGTTCACATTGTATTTACCGAGTTACCTATTGCTGCTTGTACGTCCAGAAGGACCGCCTTTGCTATTTCGCCTGATATTGTTCTGATGCATTTAATGAGGTCTTCTCTATCGGTCGTTTCAGGGCTGCTAAAACAAGCTCCTT